GTTGAAGTCTTAGAAAATGAGAAATCGAGTCTCACGGTAAAACTTCAAGAATCATTAGAAGGAAATAAAATTGGATCTCTAAGAAAGGAAGGTAATTCTTACCTAAATCACTCCACTAAGGGATGTTGTGAAAACTTAGGATCGAATTCATGCAGTAAAGGCAAGTCAAAGATTTTTGAAAAGTTATTAAAGCATGAGAGGAATGGATCTTCAAAACAAAGATATAGGAACATAGAATGTTTCTATTGCCATGAGGTTGGGCACATTAGGAGAGTATGTAGGAAGAGAATTCTAAATGAAAAATATAGAACTTGCTTTAATTGTCATCAAGTCGGTCACATTAGTAGATTTTGTTCTATTAAAGATCACAAACAAACTGTATCCAAGAAAGTCTGGATACAAAAACCCAAAACTGCATGACTGCTAATGGTGCAGGTTTGCTTCCAAGTGAGCATGGAGGCAACTGAATGGATACTAGACAGTGGATGCTCACACCACATGGCGGAAAATTGAAACCTATTCACCACACTCAAAGAAGGTAAAGGTGGTAAGGTATTTTTTGGTGACAATAATTCTATCGACATAATAGGAAGAGGAATAGTAGGTTCAGATCCATGCATTGAAAATGTGACGCTAGTAAAAGGTCTTAAGAATAATCTGTTTTCTATTAGTCAAATGTGTGGCAAAGATAAGAGGATAATTTTTGAACATGATTGTTGCTACATCGAGTCATTGGTGGATAAGAAAGTGCTTTTCACCGGTAGACATAAAAATAAGTTATATGTAATAAATCTAGATGATAAAGAAAGTTTTAAGGTAACCTGTTTAATGTCATTAGAGAAAAATGATCAAATAGATTGGCATAGGAAGCTTGGACATGTGAGTATAGGGATTCTGTCTAAACTAAGTGATCTTGAGCTAGTTAAAGGTCTGCCTAAGTTAAAAGGCAAAAAGGAGTTCTTTTGTGATGCTTGTGCTAAAGGAAAGCATACAAGGTCTAGCTTCAAGAGTAAGACGGTAATATCCACAACGAGACCACTTGAACTACTTCATCTTGATCTCTTCGGACCAACCAATGTGGTAAGCTATGGAGGTAAGTCCTATGCTTTTGTAATTGTAGATGACTATTCTCGTTTCAATTGGGTAATGTTTCTAGCTAGCAAAAGTGAAGCTTTTCAAAATTTTGAGTCTCTAACTAGGAAATTGGAAAATGAAAAACAGTCTAAGGTTGCTAGCATTAGAAGTGATCATGGTGGAGAATTTATCTCAGAAGAGTTTGAACTCTTCTGCAATAAGCTAGGAATAAGTCACAATTTTTTCTGCTCATCGTACTCCGCAACAAAATGGAGTGGTGGAGAGGAAAAATCGAACTTTGATTGATATAGCTCGAACAATGTTGCATGACTATGGCTTTCCAAAGTACTTTTGGGCTGAAGCCATAAATACTGCTTGCTATATTACAAATCGAGCTTTGATCAGATCTGGAATTAAGAAGACTCCTTATGAGATTTGGAGAGGAAGAAAACCCAATCTGAGTTACTTCCATCCCTTTGGTTGCAAGTGCTTTGCATTAAACACCAAAGATCATCTTGGCAAGTTTGATGCCAAATCCGATGAATGTGTGTTCTTGGGTTATTCTGTAACTAGCAAGGCATATAGAGTTTTCAACAAAAGGACTCTCAAAGTGGAAGAGTCCATAAATGTGATATTTGATGAATTTGTTAATGAGCGTTCAGATGAGATAGATGAAGATGATTTTGGACTTAGTGTAAACTATGATCTACCAAGGACACCAAACACGGAGAAATCTGAACACAGAATGATCATATCTAAAGACCAAGACAAAGCAGTAAGTACTACAAACTCTCCGATCGAGCAAGATCATGAAGTAAGGCAACCTCCTCCACATATTGCCAAACGTCATCCTTCTTCTCTTATGATAGGAGGGCTAAATGAAGGTATGGTCACTCGTTCTAGAAATTCTATTGTGCACACTGCTTTTGTGTCATTGATTGAACCTAAAAACGTGAAAGATGCCTTGAATGATGAAAATTGGAATGCTGCTATGAATGAAGAAATGAGTCAGTTTGAAAGAGCTAATGTGTGGGAGTTGGTACCCAGACCACCTAATAGAGTCATTATCAGGACTAAGTGGATTTACAAGATCAAGTCTAATGAAAACGGGGTAGCAACTAGAAATAGGGCTAGATTAGTGGCTAAAGGGTATAATCAGGAAGAGGGAATAGATTTCGATGAAACCTTTGCCCCAGTTGCTAGACTAGAGGCTATCAGAATGTTATGTGCGTTCGCTAGCTCTAAGGGATTCAAACTCTTTCAAATGGATGTCAAAAGTGCCTTTTTAAATGGGGATTTAAAAGAGGAAGTGTATGTTGAACAACCTCCCGGTTTTGAAGACTTTCGATACCCAAACCATGTTTATAAATTAAAGAAGGCACTTTATGGACTTAAACAAGCACCTCGAGCATGGTATGAAAAACTTAGTTCTTTCCTTTTAGGAGAAGGTTTTAAAAGGGGCTCAGTGGATAAAACTCTCTTTATAAAAAATAAAGAACAACATATGTTGCTAGTCCAAATATATGTTGATGATATTATATTTGGATCCTCTAGCAAAGAGTTGTGCGAATATTTTGAAAATATCATGAAGAAATCCTTTGAAATGAGTGCAATGGGGGAACTAACATACTTTTTGGGTTTGCAAATTAAACAAACAACTCGAGGCATTTTTATTAGTCAAACCAAGTACATTCAAAATATGTTAAAACGTTTTGACTTTGGGAATCTGAAAACTGCCACTACCCCTATGGCTTCTACCATTAAATTAGACAAGGATGCGTCGGGCAAGTCAATTGACGAGAAGTTCTATAGAGGAATGATTGTGTCTCTAATGTATCTGACTGCTAGTAGACCCGATATTCAATTCAGTGTGTGTCTTTGTGCTAGATTTCAAAGTGCTCCTAAGGAAAGTCATTTGACTGTTGTCAAAAGAATCTTTCGTTACTTAGCTGGTCTAATGGATCTAGGTCTATGGTATGATAGTGAGTCAAGTCTTGACTTAATTGGTTATAGTGACTCATACTATGCTGGGTGCATAGTTGATCGTAAGAGTACTTCCGGGACATGTCAATTTCTCGGGAATTCTCTTGTGTCTTGGTTTAGCAAAAAAACAAAGCTCTGTTGCTCTATCCACCGCCGAGGCTGAATACGTGGTCGCTGGCCTGTGCTGTACTCAACTCCTTTGGATGAAGCATCAACTTTGTGACTACTGGTTAGAAATAAAGTCCATGCCAGTATTGTGTGACAATACGAGTGCCATTAACATGGAAAAAAATCCCGTACAGCATTCTCGAACCAAGCACATAAAAATCAGGTATCATTTCATTCAAGAATTGGTTGAAGAAGGTCAAATTCAACTTGAGTTTGTGCCTACGACGACCCAATGAGCTGGTATTTTTTACTAAACCTCTAAATATTGATCAATTTCTAACCATTCGTCGAGAACTTGGGCTTATTTCTTCTAGTGAGATCAAAGATCTAAAGTAAAATAAACTTGAGTTGTCAAAAATAAATTTGTGGTGTTGCTTGAAAACTCTAATCTGCTACACCTCTAGGCCCTTATCTAATCTTGTTAATCCCTTAAGTCCTGGTAAGCTAAGCCCCTCACAGGCTGTGTGGGCCGAGGCCCAGATACGTCCATGTCCCTCTCCCAGACCTGCGTGAGATTACCTCTGTCAAACCCCTCCTAACATTCTAATTCACGAGTTGGAGACACTCACTAGGACTGTGGGCCTAAGCCCAACCCCAATCTCTGGCAAACTCGTTGACACTCGCTCGATTCCAGGAAAGCGTAGAACTCGACTTTCCTTCTTCTTCCGATACCTAAAATCCCTAAGTCCTTGGCTCGATCGAATTCCTGCTGCCTAAATCCCTAACTTCTCTGTTCAATCATCTTCCTTCCATAATTTTCTCTCTTCGAAGTACTGATCAAAGGAAGGTAAGCTCCGCTTCCAGAGCACGCAGAGGAATCAAATCCTCTTCTCTTAATTGCTTCCACAAATGGGCTGATTCAAATTCCCCATCTCAAAAATCCTTTCCCACCTCAGAGAATCGTGTCCAAGAAGAGATCAGTACCTTCCTCATTCGACTCTCGGTCAGCCGCTATAAAAGCCACCTCAGTTCAATGGACTTCTCATCTAATACTCAGCAAAAGCAGCCGTCAAAAAAAAAAAAATCATCCTCGCTCATCCCGTCACCATGGTGCCGAGAAATCCCCTCCTCAATGTCCACCTTGCTCCTGCTGCCATTTTTACCAATCGAGGCTTCCGAAACTCGGAGGCATACTCCAGGTAGTGATGGCAATTTCAACCCGCCCCGCGGGTATTACCCGACCTGATCCGCGATGGGGCGGGTATTACCCGACCCGCAGTAGCATGGGGCGGGGCATGGGTATCTACTTCCTACCCGCCCTGTCCCGCCCCGCCCCATTCTAGACTCATTTATCTCAATTTCTTACAATATCTATACATATTTCTCCTATTTTGACTTTTCTTCAACTAGTTAGAGTCAATCTTTCAACTTGTTAGTCTCATTCATCCATTCTATTATCAATATTATTCATTCTTAAAGTGTTTTTCCCTACGTTTTATTGTAAAAATTAAAATTTACTTGTATTTTTTTTGAACAACATATAAGAGTGGGTCGACCCTCCCCGCCTCGTACTCGCGCGGGTTTTACCCGCCCCGACCCGTAGTAGCATGGGGCGGGGCATGGGAATTGAGGTACCCGCCCCAACCCGCCCCATTGCCATCACTAACTCCAGGTACCTTCGGTGCTTCAGCGATCGGGCTCTCCATCCCTCATTCCTCATCCCTCCTACCACTTTCAATCGATATGGACTGAGGGTCAATGGGTATATCAATGATCTTGGGTGGAGTTCACTGCTCCAGAATTGACCCCTTGATCAGTGCCCTGAAGTTGTGAGAATGTTCTACGCAAGTATGCAGTGCGGCCCAGGAAGCTATCCGTCGTATTTCACCACCACCGTCTACAATTTTAGCGTGACAATCACTGCTGATGTGTTGGCCACTGTGCTGCATCTTCCTCAAGATGGTTATCTAGCTGGGACAACAGAAGACTTTGATAGCTATGGGTTCCATCCCATAGACACTATGTCTTACCTGGCTCGTGACTATGGGAAGCATCAATTCTCCATGTTCTCTGTGGAGCGGCTTCCTGATGAGCTGAAAGCCTTACACTTCTACATCACACGTATGTTCCTCCCTCGAGATGCTGCCACGGCAACTACTCTCGAAGAGTCTGACTTGTGGACTCTGTTTAACGCCAAAACAAGCTGCCCGATCAGTTACGCCACACTCATGTTTAATCACATGATTAAATATCGAGAAGAAGAGTGCAGTGGGAAGCTGCCTTTCGGTCCGCAAATCACCTCCCTGCTAGAAATCTTAGGGGTCGATCTTCGTTGGAAAATCATCAACCGGGATCTCCATTCTGACCTCCAAGCCCAGCATGTCCTGCGTCGCACCCTCTCGGAGCTTGGAACCCAAAAACTTGCCAAAGTTAAAGGGGGAGACCAACCTGCTTAGTCTGAATCAGGTGGTGATGAAGACAACAGTGTTGTAGCGTTACCTGCGAGACTTGACAAGGGAAATGAAGTGGCAGAATCGTCTCGCAAGAGGGCTCTGGACTTGGGTCACCTCTAGGAAGGGATAAATCTGGAGAAGGAGGGAAAAGGGCTACTTCATGATCTGACCTTAGCTCTGAAAGGGAAAGAGGCCAGTTCTTCCCGCAAGAAGGTCAACAAGGTCTTATTCGTACCTTCAGAGGATGAGGAAGTCGATCCATCTGAGTATGCTTCCTCTCCTGAGTACACCTACTAGGAAGCTTTTGGCTAATTGGCTTAGGGGGAGATCCATGAATGTCGTTTGTGTCGGTTTAAAATGCAGGTCTAGTTGTTTGGTTGTTGAAGTCGAGTTTAATTGTTAGTTGAAGTTCTGGTTAATCTTCTTTAGTAAGACTTGCTGAAGTCTAGTGTCAAGAGTGAGTTGATGTTTGTTTCTATGAATAAAATGGACTCCTATTGTCATCTTTTGAACTCATGATACATGCTGTCTTGATTAGAGAATTGGACAGGCTGCACCAATGATTTGTTAAGTGTGCAGGTTCTGATTGTGAGCAGGTTAAGATTGAACTTTGACAAGTTAAGAACAGATTCTGGGACATCTTGTTCAGGGGGAGAAGGTTGGCCATTGACAGCTTAGGGGGAGAATGTTGCAACAAGCTAGTCAAAGACCACTTGAGAAGGAAAGAAGATCAGGAGCAAACATGGAAATTAGGAGGAAAATAAGAGAAGAGATCAGATTAAGGAGATTTGGGACAACAATGCAAATCAAATCAGAAGATGGACTCTCAAGCGAATCATCACTAATAAGGGAAGGAATTTGAATTAGCAACGACTACATTGCAGCCTATAAAAGGCGACTTGAAGGTAGAGCAATGACAACCTTTTCAAGAGATCAACAAAGCTAGCTAAGACAAAAGTGGATTTTGTGAGAGAGTAGCAAGGTTGATAGAATAGGGGGTTTCTCAGAGGGTTCGGGGAGAATTGCTTTGAGGGTTAGTGTTGGGGAAACACTGGTTATGAGTTGCTGGGGAAGTAATTCGGGTTCTGTGAGAGTGTTTGCGATTAATCGGGTTGAGATTAATCGCGGGGGTTTTCGGGTAGATAGATTGTAACGATGAACTTCAACGCAAAATCATAGAGAATCGTCGGAGATCATACAATCGTGAATCTCCGACCGTGGAGTAGTCAGTATTGGGATCCTCATTCTCCCAATACTGGAAACCACGTAAAAATCGTGGTGTGTCTTCTCATTCTGCTTCTCGGCTTCTGCTGTGTATGTCCTTCTGTGTGTGTGTTCTGTTTTGTGCAGGAAAATTCACTCAGGAGCAGATAGCGAAGAAGTACTGTGAGGACCGGGTTGGGGAACTTGTTGGAGCTTAGCTTGATTTGAGCTTCACCGCAACTGCCTGGGTTTTTCACAGCAGAGTTCTTGTTGTTCTTCCCTGTTCTTCACTCGAACAGAAGCAGAGTTTGTTTTTTTATCTAAGTCCCAAGCGGGAAGGGCAACTTGATTTGAATTAAAACTCGGTCGTTTTGCTTTCATCAATTAGAAGCTGGGTCGGGACGAGAATTGAGTGGGCTGGGCTTCCGGGCTGGGTTATTACGTCTGAGTAATCTAAGGGATTAGAAGCCCAGTAGCGTGAAGTTAGGTTATGTTAAGTGGGCTTTATGTTTTATAGGCTTAGTTGGGGTTAAACTTTAATCAGACTATCTTAGTGTATCATTATACGCCTAGGCCTAAGGTGGAAGGGTCTAAGATAGTTAGGATTAAAATCCTCCTTGAGATTAATTTGTACTAATCATTATTATTAAGGTTGATTTGTAGCCAAGACAGGTATAAAGTCTCGCGCTCGACGCAACCAACAACTTATAGTCAAGTAACATGTTCAAGCTAGCAGAAGAAATAAGAGTAATCTATTCTATTGTATAGGTAAGTAGCAAGTCTACAAATTACCCATCTGGGTTGTTTACTTAGCTATGTATTTTGGTTGGTCGCCAAGTTGTAATTTGTATAATCTGTGTGGTTCCATGTATTCTTTAAGTATGCATTCATTCTCCAATTAAATTACTTACTTAAAGAAAACAACACAAGAAACAAGTAGTGAAGACAAAAACGACCAAGGGCAACTACCCATGCACAAATCAAATAAGGGACATGGAAATGGCTAACAGCAGCTAGGATAGCAATTTGAACCTGTCCCATCGAGTTTTACCTGACATGACCCACGATGGGGCGGGGCATGGGTACCAACTTCCGACCCGCCCTGTCCCGCCCCGCCCCGTTATTGGCCCATTCTAAGTTAATTTCTTACATCATCCATTCATATATCTCCTAATTTGACTTTTCTAGGTCAAGATTAACTAGTTTGACTTGATCTTTCAACTAAATAGACTCAATTACCCATTATATTATTACTATTATCCATTTATGAAGTCTTTTCTCATTCGTTTTATCGAAAAGATTAAAATTTTGCTTGCATTATTTCAAATAGCATATAAGGATGGGTCGACCCGTCCCGCCTTGTACCCGCGCGGGTATTACCCACCTCGACCTGTAATAACGTGGGGCGGGACATGGGTATTGAGGTACTCGCCCTGCCCTGATCTATTGCCATCACTCAGCAGCAGACCAACACTCGACCAGTAAAAAGACCGACAATAAGTAACACCACCCCACCAGTAAAAAGACCAGCAACAAATAAACCACCACCAATAATAGTGCTACCAATTAACTGCTCCGTGTGTACTATTTTGTAACTTTCTTCTTAAAGAGCAAACAACACTTTGCAGTCCTGCTTTCCTTCAAGTTTGGGCTCTTCTTGAAGGGAGCAGTGGCTGCTAGAGTTAGGGTTAGAAAATTATGTTTGGTCCTGATTTTTGGGACCTATTAGGTCCCGAGTTTTGTTGAGCCTTGTTTTTTTATAATTTTCGGCTCCACTGTTTGTATCTTTTTCTTTGGGCTTGCCCATTGCATTCTTAATTAACCACACTTTAAGGAAAAAAAAAAAGTTTGGGCTCTTCTTGTTCTCATGGACAACGAAACCAAAGTAAACTCACCAGCCAATTCGGACTTTAATTAGTGCAACCCAATCATGCTCTACATCATGGTTTATTCGGCAACTGCTCACAGTTAGCCAGCTCTAGATAAGCTGGCACTACATGTATAATATGTCCTCTTTGCTACTTCCAAACTGATTATTCGAATTCCGGCTTATTATTCGGCTTCACTACCAAGTAGTGCCAAAACGATTTCTCCCCCTCTTCCTTTCTTCTTCTTCGTCTTCTACAGTGAACCATATATACAATAAATTATAAACGATCGGTTCTTTATATTGTGGGGGTCTTCTAGAGATGTAGAATCCAAGGCCTTTTAATTTGTCAAATGGGGTTGGTTCATCATGACTCTATCTCTACTTTATATAAACGCTTGTTCAGTTGTTCACCTAACCTGAATTTAACTCAGAAATTGCAAGAAGTTTAAGCAATTGCGTGATTGGTTAGAAAAACCGCAGAATAATAGGCACCATTATTAAAACCTATCAACATATGTATATATATAGCTTGATTGGGCACGCAAACCTCATCCTTTTCTTGGTTGCAATCAAAACATAACAAGGGAGGAAGAGAAACCAACGCCAAGAAGATCGAGAAGGCGATGAAGGAGATAGTTCTGAAGAACAATCTATAAATATATATAGTAAAATAGATCGAAGCCTGATCAAAGGTGAAGAGATGTATCGACATCCGAATGCTCGAAAGCAGTACTTCTTTGTGACGATGAAGATGATGTTCCACCCGACCAAAAGCTTGCTTGGTTGTTCCTCAAAGACTGATGATCGTACGAGGAGTAGTACTGTTGTTGGGTTTCTGAGGATGAGTGGAGGCCCAGAGAAAGGAGTGATGGAGCTGCTGGCGGTGAAGCTGTTGGTCTACGGTTGGAAAAGGCAGGCGCCCGATCGCGAGGAGTCGTTGTTGGGAGGTTTGAGGCATAAGAATCACGCTCCAACGGCCTAGAGGAGGAGGAGGAGGAAGGCGATGACGAGCCGGACGGTGTAGGAGGAGTTGTATTCCTTTCAGATGACTCGGAGAACAGCTTGAGAAGCTCCTTCTCTTGTCTTTTCTCCTTCACTCTTTGAAGTTCCTTGAACCTTTCTTGGAGAAGAGCTATGGAGGAGTTCACCATGGTGGAAGAATCACCTATTTGCCTACCCATTGGAGAGATGGGTAACGATGGAAGGAGATTGAAGTTATGGCACTTTTCTTTAGAGTAAAAGGGAAGGAAGGATGGACAATGTTAGGGGTTGTTTATATAGCAACAGAAGGTAGTTTGGTCATTCATGCAATACATATATATACTTATTACTTAGAAAACGAGAAATTAATACATCTAATGTAGTTGGATGGTATGTGATGTAACTATTTGGAGTTGGGTAGCAAAGTCCAAGGAGAAAAGGTGTCAAATGTGGGAGAGTGAGCCTATGGAGATGATGATGAGTTGGTGAATGTGAAGGACATAACTTTCAAGGAGAGGAAGAAAAAAAAGGGGTTTGGAAGGTGAGGACAAATTAGGGTTGGAGAGTAGC